TTTTTAATATTTATTTTTTAGTTCTCGGCGGACACAACATCTTTGTTGGTATGTGGTGCCGAGGATCGAACCTGGGCCGCACGCATGCCAGGCGAGCGCGCTACCGCTTGAGCCACATCCCCAGCCCAAGAAATACAATCTTTACAGTTTGCTGCTCCCCCGATCAGGACACCAATATTGGAGCTGTTTTTTTGGTACCAGGATTGAACCCAGGGGCATTACTTAACCACTGAGCAACATCCCCGACCCTTTTTATTTTTAAATTTGAGACTGTCTTGTGTCTTGCTAAGTTGCTCAGAGCCTCCCTAACTTGCTGAGGCTAGACTTGAACTTGTGATCCTCCTGCCTCAGCCTCCTTCCTGAGTCACTGGGGTTACAGGCATGTGCCACTATAGACTGTTCTTTTTGTTTTTTAATTTTTAAGACAGTGTCTCACAAAATTGGGTCTTCCAATTTAATTACATACAGTCTAACTTCTACTCTACTGTAAAAATTGTGTCCTGGTGCTTTGGGTCATCTGCATTTCAAATGGAGCAGGAAGCTTACAAATTATAAGGGGGAAGGATATTTTAGTACTGTTTCACTCTCACCTTTGACATGCAGTGTAGCTTTTTAGAATCTGGGCTACCACTGGCATTCAAAACCATTCTTTCACTTCCCCTTTCTTCCAGCCTATTGGGAAAAAAGCTTCCATGATCGACTGGAAGATAGAAGCCAGAGCAGGATTCTTCTCTTTCTACTTCAGATAGCCTATCTGGCAGTTGGCTCCATTTTCTCTGTGGCTCCAGCTAGATAGGCCTGCTACAGTTCTAGCTTATAAATTCTAAGATCCAGTGACATTGTCTATTACTTCCGTCTCTTCAACCCAGGCATTATTGTAGATTCCTGCTCTTGTAAATCTGTGGCATTCCCTTTGGAATGCCAGTTCCCTGCAACATATTCCTTCTGTTGTAAACACATAAAGTAATCTCTGCCTTCATAGTTAAATATGAAGGGTAGCAGAATATGCCATCCCCAAATATGTCACTATGGCATAGGTATTATTTTGAGCCAAAGGCATTGAGAAGAAACAAATGAGGGGCTGGGATTGTGGCTCTGTGGTAGAGCACTTGCCTAGCATGTGTGAGGCACTGGGTTTGATTCTCAGCATCACATAAATAAACAAATAAAGGTATTGTGTCCATCTACAACTAAACATATTTTTTTTTAAAGAGAAAAGAAAGAAACAAATGAAAGAAAAGCTCTCTGAGGGCTAAAGGTGTGACCAAATGGCAGAGACTAGCTGAGCCAGGTTTTGAGTTTTAACCCTAGCACTGCAGAAAAACACAAACAACAAACAAACAAAAGCTCTGGTACTAGAATGTTGCCTAGCATGCATGAGGCCCTGAGTTCCATCCCCAACACCACCAAAACAAACAAATAAACAAACAAAAACCCTACTCTCTGCCTACCCTCCCCTTTTTACCTACAAGGAAAACATACGTTTGTAAAGGTGTCCACACTCCCTTCTCTACCAGGAAGGACAGAATTTAATCACCTTAACTCTAGACTTTTAACCTGGAGATGGCACCAGAGCAATACACATAACAGATTTCGCTAAAACTGGACCTTATCTATCACCAGTTTCCCTACATATTTGTCTTCTCACAATTCATTGCCCCAAGGGGGAAAAAAATTGTTTTTAGTTGTCAATGGATCTTTTACTATGTTTGCATGCGGTGAACCCAGTGCCTCACACATGCTAAGCAAGCACTCTACTGCTGAACTACAACCCCAGCCCTGCCCCAAGGAATTTAAAGTTTACCTAGTACTTCATAATGTGTAAAGCAACTGAAATGTAAAATCTCAAGTAATTCTCTCTCTCTCTCTCTCTCTCTCTCTCTCTCTCTCTCTCTCTCTCTGTCTCTCTCTTTCTCTCTCTCTGCCTCTTTCTTTGTGTGTGTGTGTGTGTGTGTGTGTGTGTGTGTGTGTGTGTGTGTGTATGGTGCTGGGGATTAAATACAAGACCTAACTCATGCTGAGTGATCCCTCTACCACTGAGCTTCATCTCCAACCTCATAATGACTTTTCCAGGCATTATTGCTTATTTTACAGATGAGAAAATAGTCTCAAGAATTGAGGCTTGCCTAATGTCTCATAGTTCAGCAGGGGAGTATATCCAAGTCTGTATGAAATATATGCAATTTTAAAATATCTTCTCTTTGGCTCTGGCTTTTTTCATATACATTTCCATAATCCTAATTTGTCCTCTTTAAACAATGTCACCTGCCTTATTTTTTTTTTTTTATTTTACATTTTTTTTCAAGGAAGCAAGTTTCTTTTTATTTATCAATTGTGTTTTTGTCTGCTAATTCACTTATTTCCTTGGTGGGAGTCAACTGACATTATTATGTAAATGTGACCTTACAAATCAGTTTACAATTAATGATGACATCATTTGTTTAGTTACAATAGATTTTCACCTCATGAAATAGCTCTCAGCACGCTTAAAGCCCTGGGGTTTCCCAGGTTGCTGGCTGATGTTTCTGTTGTTTTTTTGTTTGTTTGTTTGTTTTTTTAAGAGAGAGAGATTTACTTTTCGGTGGACACAACATCTTTAAGAGAGAGAGAGAATTTTAATATTTATTTTTTAGTTCTCGGCGGACACAACATCTTTGTTGGTATGTGGTGCTGAGGATCCAACCAGGGCCGCACGCATGCCAGGCGATTGCACTACCACTTGAGCCACATCCCCAGCCCCATGTTTCTGTTCTTTTAGTGTTTTAGTGATTGCTATAATGTGGCTAAAAACTAACCATCTTGACTATCTAAAAACAGCACACAAAGAGGTGTGAAGAGGCAGGAAGAGCAAAACAAAGGCTTCTTTCTTCTTGAATGCCTGTAATCCCAGCTACTGGGGAGGTTTAGGCAGGAGGATGGGGAATTCCAGGCCAGCCTGAACAATATGGAGAAATCCATCTCAAAACAAAAACAAAAACCTAGAACAGAAAAGAAAACAAGTGTAACTCCTATAGCTCAGTGGTAGAGTATATGATCAAAAGATGCTAAGATGGGGCTGGAGTTGTAGCTCAGTGGTAAAGCCCTTTCCTAGCACATATGAGGCACTAGGTTTGATTATCAGTGCACATAAAAATTAATTAATTAATTAATTAAAAGTATTGTGTCCATCTACAAGTAAAAAGATTTTTTAAAGGAAAAAATAATGTTAAGATGCCAAGTACAGTGGTGTAGGCCTGTAATCGCAGCCTCTCAGGAGGCTGAGGAGGTTTGGAAATTCAAGGCCAGCTTCAGCAATTTAGCAAAGCCCTAAGAAATTTAGCAAGACCCTATTTCAGAATAAAAAATAAAAAGGTCTGGGAATGTAGTTCAGTGGTAAAGTGCTCCTGGGTTACAACTCCTGTAGAAAAAAAAAGCAAGAGAGAGAGATGTTAAGGCATTCTGGAAGGCTCCTCTGATCCCAGGCCAGCTGCCAGTCCACTGTGTGATACATTCAGGATGCTGAGGGAGTGCCCATGTAGTACTGGGGATTGAATCCAGGGCCTAGCACTTGCTATGCAAACTCTCTACCTCTGATATATATTCCAGCCCTGGTTAAAAAGACAACCCAAAAGACCTGGATTAAGAAAAAAATCTTTGTCAGCTAGTTCTTGGGTATTTTTCTCCTTTTGCCCAAATGAAGGGCAAAAAAGCGTTCCACTTTTTAGATGTTACATCTAATTCAGAAATATTGTTTAACAATGTATAGGTCAAACTAAACTCATTGGTGAATCTGATTCAGTAAGAGGGCTGTCATTTTATGTCTTCTGGTATAGGGATACTGATGAGTCAAAATAAGGCTTCTCTTTCCCTAGAACTAGAAAAGATTCCTAGAAAGTAGAAATGGAGAAGACTTACACATTGTTTCCTTAATGAAGGGATTCAGTTTCTTTTCCTCCTCCAACTCTGGGCCAAACTCCTGACACATGGGAAATGAAATTCCAGATGGTTTTGAGGGGCTCAAGTTCAGAATCCTGGAATAGCTTACTGGTAGAGTTGTGTTTAGCATTGTGAGGCCCTGGATTTTATCCCTCAGCACTGGTGGGCATGGTGGGGAGCATGGATACAGAATTCTTTTTTCCTCCTTCCCTAAGTACTAAATAGATTCAAGGACTGTGCTGAGATCAAGGAATTTGTTTGGCACAGTCTAATGTTGGAGTTTCACGTTGTGTTTTGGCGGATTAGACTGTGATTGTTCCATTTAGGGGCTGATACTGTGCCTGAGTTTATTTTCTTGAGACAGCACAGAGAGCGACAAAATCAATTTCTAGGAGTTCAATAGAGTTACAGAAGTGGAAAGGAACTCAGCTGAAATAAAAGAGTCTCTCAGATGGGAATGAAAGATTGCATGGCAAAGCTTATGAAGATTCATAACAGAATGTGGTCTGTTATAAATTACATTTTTTTAAGTTATACTTTTTGATCATTTGAGTTTATAGGACAAAAATTGTACCTCCTATGCTAGTCTACCTGCTGTAATTTTCCTGCCTCATATTCCAAATTTGGTACGTAGCATTGCCATTATTGTTATTTTCTAAACCATTTCCCATTACAACTTCTGTTTTCTCCTGACACAATAATTAACTCCACCCTATCTCCCAATTACCCAGATCCTTGCCCATGCTAGCCAAGTGCTCTACTACTAAGCTACACCCCCACCCCATAACTCAATATTTTTATAGATGTAAAAATAGATTTTTTTCAAAAACTTAAATTTCATTACTGTGAAGAGTATTTTTGAAATTACTAAGCCTCAAACTGTGTTTAATTTTAATACTTGTTTTCTGACACATGGGAAATGCTATTTTTGTTTTTCTGAATACTCTCTTTCTCAAAGCTTTTTCTAATTTATTTTCATTAAACGCCATGTCTTTTATTTAAAAGCTAATGAGGTAAAATAATTTAAAGTCATCAACATAATAAAACCAACAAGATCACAAACATTTCCAAAATCAACTTTATTTGCTCCATGGATCTCTGAGGAAATGTTATCTCCTCAGGATGACCTTGTGAATTTAAAAGAGAACTACATTGTCTTCCCCCCTCCACATATACAGACTTTCAATTCTCTTACTTGGTGTTCTTTTTCTCTATGGAAATTTACCTCCATTGGACACTCAATATATTTTAATCTGTTTCCATGGTGATAAGACTCAAGGGCTGGGTTCCTACACTCATTCCGATTTGTTTACTAATATCTTCTAAGTGTGGAAATCAAAATACACCCAAAGAACCAAGAAATTGCCTAGTGCTCAGAATGACTATTCAACATCTGGATTCCTGGGTGGTACAGAAACAGCACATTAATTACAATATTTTTTTTTTTTTACTTTTTCCTCCCAGCCCTTTCCTCCTTTAACGTGATAAATAAAGTTTGCTGGCCTAAGAGTAGCTTCCATATCAATCTTTTGGTCAATGAAGAGATTTTAGCGAAAATACAACTAACCAAGAAGAGGGGGGTAGGGGAGTGATCTAAGCAGTAGCCTCAATGGGGCATTCCCTGGCTAGATGTCCAGATTCGCCACAGCGGTAGCAGTTCACTTCGCTTGCCTTACTACAGTTCACTGCTACATGGCCGGTCTCGCCACATCGGTAGCATTTGACTTGGGTACAGTCTTTCTGGATGTGCCCGAATTCACCGCAAGAGTAGCATTTCTGTTCTTCCTGATGGTCACAATCACGAGCTAAATGGCCTGGTCTGCCGCAGGTGTAACAGCACTGTTCTCTGTCTCTTTTAGGATCCATACAGTCTTTGGCGATGTGGCCACTTCTCCCGCAGTTGTAGCAGATGTTCTGGTGAAGGTCACAGTTTTTGACATGATGACCAGTCTCACCACAGCGGTAACAGATGTCAGATTGGGTGGTGGAACTGCACTGAGGACCTCTGCCTCGGCCTCTAGGTCCTCGCCCTCGAGCTCCTCCTTTAGGGCACTCCCGGGCCCAGTGGCCAGACCGTCCACACTTGAAACATTCTTTACCGCTCATGGCCGCGGTGAGATCTTTTGGTGAGCAGGCCCACCCACCGGTGCCAGGGAGGCCCAGAGGCAACTCCCCTTAGGATGGCTTAGATGGAAATGACTCTTTTCCTACCGGGAGCTCTGTGACGTCACATGAGGTTTGCACACGGCCTCATTCACAGGTGTTCTAACTGCCTTCTCCCTCCTACTCAAGCAGTCAGAATTGATAATAGATTAAATGTTGTTTTCAGTTTGTTTGTTACCAGGTATTGAGCCTAGGGGCGCTTAATTACTGAGCCACATCCCCAGCCCTTTTTAATATTTTATTTTGAGACAGGGTCTTGCTGAGTTGCTTAGGCCTTGCCATTGCTGAGGCTGGCTTTCAACTCTGATCCTCCTGCCTCAGCATTCTAAGTCACTGGGATTACAGGCATGTGCCACCTGCCGGGCTCAGTTTTATTTTTAACATTTGAACCGCTAAGTATGAGTTTGTTAAGACAATGTGACCGGTACAATTTTTCATAACTAAGAGGCTTCCGGGGCCCAAGGTTGTTAAGTGGTATGGCGCATGCGCAAGGCTCTGGGCTCACTCCCTCAGCACAGCCCCCCGACAAAAAAAAAAAAAAAAAACCCTTTATTTGTGGTCTAGTAGATAATCAGTTTTTATGTATGTTTTGTGGATACAATATGTGAGAGGTTAATCCAATAAAGGAAAGAAATTATACAAATTAGAGTAGACTATTTTTTCCTATCTTTTTTGTGCAGGAGCGGGGTGTGTGTGTGTGTGTGTGTGTGTGTGTGTGTGTGTGTGTGTGATGGAATCCAGGGCCTCTCACGTGTTAGGCACCTGCTCTACCACTGATCTACATTCCCAGACCTTATTTATTTGGTTATTTATTTGGCCCGGTGGAGGGTACTGGGGATTGAATCCAGTGGTGCTTCACCACCGTGCTACATTCCCCAGCCTTTAATTTTTTTTTTTCTTTTTTTTTCAGTTTGAGAATTTGACAGAGTGTTTTGCTGAATTGCTGAGGCTGGCCTCAAACTTGTAATTCTCCTGCCTCAGGCTCCTGAATTGCAGGGAATACAGGCTTGTGCCACCAGCTTGGCTCCCAGAGCTCTCTCTCTCTCTCTCTTTTTTTTTCTTTTTTGGTCATTGTTGTTTTAAAAAAATAAAACATGGGGCTAGTTGTGGCTCAGTGGTAGAGCACTTGCCTAGCATATGTGCGGCACTGGGTTCGATTCTCAGCATCACATAAAAATAAATAAATAAGAATAAAGGTTCATCCACAGTGAAAAGACATGCTCAAAATTTATCCC